TCACTGCTGGACCAGGTACCTGGGTGGGCACAGTTGTGAGAGGGCAACATCCCCACCCTCACCCACCCAGGTCTCTGTGATACAAGCCAGGTCAGCCCTCTCATCCATTATCACATGGATGAGTGTTGCCTTATTTTGGACCAACCTGGCATTAAGCAGCAGCACCGACAGGCCTGGGGGGCAGTTGACAAGTCTACCTGGAACCCACTGGCTGGAGGAATAACCAGAAAGAGGGACAGGCCATAATAAACTTACTAGCCTTAATGTACCCTGAGAATGCCTATTGATTTCACATCCAACATGGTTAGTAATCGTTCAAGTGACTGAAGCCTGGAGCAGCCAAAGTAAAAGAAAAGAAACAGAGTCAGGAAGATTGGAACAAAGTAAACAGTTTCGCAATGAATGCTGAAAAAAATATGTAGCTGAAAATGGAAAGTGCTTTTTGACACTCACAAAAACCAAAATGAAATAAGAATGGTAGTCCAACTTTGCTCAAATCAAGTTGGTTCACATCATCTCAGTTTTTCCACTGAGACAGTTGCTTGCCTGGTTTTTATTTGAGAAGTCATTCTTAATATACAAAGTAAAACTGGGTTGATTCTGAAGGTAAAATCACCATCTAAGAAACAAGAGAGATATTGGTAATTTACAATAACCTCTTAGGGAATGAAAGAACTGTATCTCAGGAAAGGTTTCCTATTAGCCATCATATTTTCTTCATTTTGACATTGCTAATATTCTTCAGGAAACTGTGATGTCATTTCCTCTCGGCTGCTTAGTTACATAAATGCTGGAAAACAGCCATTTCAAACAACCCTTGAACAGATGGCCATGTGTATAAAATGCCAGAAAGTGAGAGCCACCACTTACTGTAAAAATGTTCCCCCACATATGGTATAATGTTTATTTTCTAACACCCTGCCCCACCTTCTCTCTCGTTCTCTTTCTTTTGTATCCTTATGTGGCTCATTCTTCTAATTTTTCTGGGCACAAATCCCCAGGAAGTGACTACAGACCAGCAAAGCAAAAACAAAATAAAAATACTTGTTTTCAATCTCAGATTATTCTACATTTGAGAACATGGCTTTACAGCTCCATGTTTATTAACCACAATAAAGAGAACTACCCCAGTGTAAATGGCTTCCTTTATTTGGATACTGTAACACTGACCTTTAGCAGCACATATTCTATACACGTCTATTCAGAATTAAGTCCCACGTACCCTCAGGAACATGCATGTGGGAGGCTTGCCGTCTAGAAGGCTTCAAACAATGAAAAAGCCAAGAAGCCCAAATCTCAGTAGTGGCAGCAATAAAATTTTACTGTGCTTTTAAAGGTTTGGTATGCTTGAGTGAGTTAATTTCCAGAAACCTATTGGTACAATAAATTTCTTCATGAAACCATCGCAAGCTGTGAAGTATCCTTAGTGTGGCTCCATGGAATACTCCTAGGGAAAAAACAGATGGACCCGCAGAAGGAGCTAGACCTGAGCAATGCATCAACAGACTGCTCCACAAACGTAGACCATGAGGGATAGAAGCTTGTGTGTGCATGTGTGTTTTAAGGGACATTACGTTTCTCAGGCTTCTATAACATATGATATGGCTACAGCCATGCTTAATTTATTCATTCAACTTTATTTCATCCCTCCCTTCTTTCAAGGACCTTCATGTGTGGATCTTCACAACAACCCTGTGATGTAGGTCAAGCTGAGTGACAGAGACTGGCTTAACATAGTCTGCTGACTTTTGTGGCACTTTGATCCTATTCACACACTCATAGCCACTATGTCCAAACCACACCATCAAGCAACAGCTTCTATTTCTGAAATTATATGCTACAACAAGAATTTTGATCTCCTCTCAAACACAGTGGCTGTCCATGATGGTTGCACTTATTCTGGGCTGTATGGCATGAGGAAATGCCTTCCCATCACCCATGCTGCATTCCAAGGCCTCCAAGAGTGCTAACCTTTTCAGTGCAAGTTTCTTCCAACATCTGTAATCACTCCTTATCCCATGCAGACATAGATCCCACACCAAGACATCTGGAGCGGTTTGGGCAAGCAAAGCAGCTCTGCACACCAATGCAAGCAGCAGCATGGAGCCCTACAAGGCCTAGCTATTTTTCAGAGGATAGTCCTCTCTTTGAAAGGCCTGACCCAAGACTGCCTCTGAAAGCACCCCTTCTCCTCTGCTCTCCTCTGCTCTCCTCTGCTCTCCTCTCCCACTTTCGAGTTAATAGACCTTGAGAATGGTCAACCATCCACAGTAAGTAGCTGGACAACAGTCCATGCAGGCAGGCTCTCCACTCCCCTGATCGATGTCTTCCACATTAGGCTGAGATGTACCTCAGTTTCAGTTGCAATGGTTATTTCTAAATTTCCATCTGTAGGTACAAGTTAGTGAATGAAAATATGAACACTGGAAAACCGCAGTCGTCTTTCATCCTCGTTGTTGGTGACTCATAAGCAACAATGATGACTCGTTTCCCTCTGGCATGCAGACCTATCTAAGAAAAAACTAAAAGTGCTTTTATTTAACACTTATTCTTGCAACCATGCAGCAATTTATGTACATTTGGCCATCTTTAAAATTCTTGCCACCAATTAAGAAAAACGGTTACAAGTCAAGAGTAACCCACCAGTAGCATACCAAGGATAGTCTGTATCAGGAGTATTCTCCTTGTAGAGTTGGAAGGGGCCATTTAGGCCATCATGTCCAACTCCTGTTCAGTGCTGGAATCCAGTTTAAAGGGATGCTTCAGTCTCTTTTTGAATAGCTCCAGTGACAGAGAATTCACCACCTTCCTAAGCAGTTCATTCCATGGTTTGACTGTTCTGACTGTAAGACGTTTTCCTGATGTTCAACTGAAATCTGCTTTTCTGTAATTTAAACTTGCTATTTGAGTCCTATGGCCTTGGATAACAGAAAACAGGTTGCATTCCTCTTGCATGGCAACCTTTTAGAGATACTTGAAAACTGCTTTCCTATTCCACCCTCAGTCTTCGCTTTTCAGAGCTCAGCATAACCAGTTCCTTCAATCCTTCCTTGTAAGGCTTAATTTCTAGTCCTATGATCATCTTGGTTGTCCTTCCCTGAACCTGCTGCAATTTATTTGAATCTTTCTTCAAGCATATGTCTAGAACTGGAAACAGTATTTGAAATGAGTTCTGGCCAAAACAGAGCAGCTGGAATTATAACTCCCCATGGTAATACTGATGCAAGCGAAAAATGTATTTCCTTTTTTTTTTTTTTTTTTTTTTTGGAGGGGTGGCCAAATCACACTGTTGATTCATTCAGCTTGTGATGGACTACAATTCCAAGATCCCTTTTACATGTCCTGTTGCTAAGCCAGATATCCCCCATCTTTTACCTGCACACATTTTTCCTAAACAAAGAACTTTGCCTTTATCTCTGCTAAACTTCATCCTGTCACTTTCTGCCCATTCTTCTGAGCTCTCAAGATCATTTTCAGTGCTGTTTTTGTCTTCTGAGATATATGCTATCACACTCAACTGCAAAACGGATGAGCATTCCTGCCCAGCTCTTGAACCCCTCTTCCTCATGGGTTTTCCTGCCATACAATCCTATTTATCCCTGCACTGAATTTATTAAAACCAGCTTTCCTGAAATCCAAGGGAGTTTATGAAGATGTTTTGATGGTGCGTCATGATGAGCGGATTCACATGCTTTCTTGGCTGCTTCAAATGTGTTGCTGAAAACAGTATCGTTTTGCATTGCTCCCAACTGCCTGCCAAAATAATAAATTTCCATACTGCCTCAGTCTGCAGATACTTTTGCAGCAATGTGGTTGCAAATTTAGGGCATTCCAGACTTTGTAGCATCACTTCGATGGGAAGGGAAGACTACTGACCCAATCACGCAATCAAGTGGCTTCAGTTTTTAGAGAACAATATTGTTCACTGGGGAAGAAACGTGGATTAATCGGAGTATGGAATGAATGTATAACCCTAGTTATTTCCAAGTGCCCAGCCCATTGCTGAAGGAACTGATTTTATAAATCTGATAATTACAGACCTCCTCTAAAAAATGTGTATAACTGTTTGCATAATTTATTTATCACAGGTTGCAGCCTCAGTGGCTTGTACTCTTTGGAGTCTTTGGGCCAATTCCACTGTAGTACCACCAAAGGATGCCCTGTTGGTTTTCTAAAATTTATTTTATAATGTTATTATGTATCTGTAAATAAATTTAGGAGGATACAAAAATTTTAGGAGGTCAGGCCACGCCCCCACCCCTCCACTACAGGTCCATTATGAGAACTTCTGATCTATAAATGATTCTTGCTGAGTTTCATGAAGCTGGTCACGGAGGTGGGATGGAAAACATACTTTGAGTTAAGCTGAGCTTGAAGGGGGCTGGACGTGACACAGAATAGAGCCAAAGTATGGTGCCTTGTATCTGACTTTGCAGAGGACAGTCCTCTGTTTGAAGGCTGCAATCTAATTAAGTCCCTTTAAAGATAAAGAACCAGGATAGATGGTGGAACCACTGAATTTAACCCTCAATTTTTAGCCCATGAACTGTGGATTGAGCAGCCATGGTCTTTCCAGTTATGGTGAGCTGCATTTCTGCTGAAAGTATCAGAAATCTTTCGAAACTGGTATGCCTTTTTGCATGTGTATGGGCAATATTATGGAAATCTTTATCCTTTGTGGCCTTATTTACATTTCTTCGCTGTTAGACCACACAAATATTTTTTGAATGGAAATTGTATTTCAAACTCCCCTAACTGAAGGCATTTGCCTTCCCATCAGATTTTCCTTCCCAAAGGTATTTCTTAACAAAATTCAGCCACAGAACTCGTGACGTGATTTTGGGCCAGTCTCTGACTTTCAACCTCACCCCCTCCCCACCACCCTTAGGAGTGCTGTTTTAAGGATAAAATGGAATGGAAGAGGACTTCGTACACCACCTTGGGTTCCTTGAAGACAAAGGTGTGATATAAATATAATAAATAAAGACTGAGACTGGGAATTGTAGAGGTAAGGAATGATAACAATGAAATATTAATAAATGATAAATTTGAAATATCCAGCTACATCTTCAGTTATAGGCTTCTGCTCTTGAAATAACAGCAGTATCCTCAGCAGGGTGATCTGAACTTGACAGTAAAATTCTCCAGTTAGAAAGTCCACATACACGGACCTGTGAATATGTGAAAAAGTATTGGATTAAAATACATAAATGGCTTGAGGAAATGCTACAAAACCCCTTAGCTTTTAAACCTGAAATTTTCTTGTTAGGCATCATACTGGAAGATATTAGCAAACAAGAAATGTATTCGATGTTACATTTAATCACAGCAGCGAGGACTGCGCTTGCTCCATACAGGAAGAGTGAGGAATTACCCACCGAGCAACTGATTTTAAAAAAGATTCTGGATTGTGCAGAAGTGGACAGATTGACTCTATCACTGAAGGAGAAAGAAGATACTGACTTCTATCAGACTTGGGACCTTTTTTATGATTGGCTGGAGAAACGGCTTGGCTTAGATTTAAAGATGTTTTTAAATTTTTATAAATCGATTTGAATATGACTATAGAATGTTAAACAGATATGTAGTAGGGGGCTGACCCAGTACGTCCGATGTATTTGATTATTGATGATTTTAGTTTTAGTTTAAAATTTTAATAAAAATCTTTATTAAAAAAGTCCACATACACCAGATGAACTCTTGTTCCAGCTACATTTGCCTGAAATCTTAAGATGCAGCTTTGAGGGTGATTTAACACATGAAGCTTAAAGATACAGCCTCTCACTCCCTCTCATCAGCTTCGTGATACTGGCTTAACATCTACATAGCTCGGAACATTTACTTGCATTTTCAGTGCCTCTCCTCTCCTTGTCTTCTACATTAACAACAATCAGATATTAACTTAAACAGGCTCAACGGCAGATTAAGCCCACTGTAGGAGAAACCCCATGACGTGTGCCTGTAAAAGTCTGCCTGAGTGTTCCCTTGAGATTCAAAGAGTTCAAAGCATGACCCATTTGGGGCTAGGGGTTATTTCCAGTGACCCCAATCCAGCAGAGCACAAGAACCTCCTCTGTCTCTGCACATGCTGCTGTGTACATCCGACATGCGCATGGACGGAATGGGATGCGCTGGGAGATCACTGGGCAGCCTGCAACAGATCAGCGACTGTGTCCAACTCCCAATGGTTTAATAAGAGCAGCAACGAAAATGTGATTTCCCATCTAAATTAGGCTGCTGAAATCAGTAAGCTCAGGAGAAAAGCCTGTGTGAAAGGCTTTGTGTGCAAGTGTATTTCCTACCACTGAACACAACATCCTGGGCTGATCTGGTGCTCAGAGGTCCATTGGTCCGTAGTTCCATGTCCACCATCCTGAGTCATTCTTTTGCATTGGGAGTGGCTGGTTAACCTCACAGGTTTTATCCTGCCCCAGTGTACATAAAGCGTATCCAGGTGGATGTTTTGAAAAGGACATTCTCCTATTTGTACGACTGCCTGGCGACAGTGACACACACGCTGGTAACTTCCCGCCTTGACTTCTGTAACGCGCTCTACGTGGGGCTACCCTTGAAGACGGTCCGGATACTTCAATTGGTTCAAAATAGAGCTGCCAGGCTGCTGACGGGGACTGGGCGTTATGTTCACATGACTCCAGTCCTCCGTCAGCTTCACTGGCTTCCCATTGAAGTCCGGGCCCAATTCAAGGTGTTGGTGATGACCTATAAAGCCCTAAACGGCTTGGGTCCTGGCTACCTGAAGGAGCGCTTACATCCATATATGCCCAGCTGCCCCTTGAGATCAGCGGGAGAGGCCCTTCTCCAGGAACCCTCCATGAAAGAAATTAGGAGGGTAGGTACTCGGAGGAGGGCTTTCTCTGCAGTGGCGCCCAATCTATGGAATGCGCTCCCCAGAGAGGTCCGCCTGGTGCCGTCATTATTTGTTTTTTGGCGCCAGGCGAAGACCTTTTTATTTAAGCGTCATTTTAATTGTTAATATTATTCACTTATTTTATCTGGCCAGGGCGACTTATTTTATGTTGTTATCTTTTGTATTTTAATTTATGTTGTGAGCTGCCCCGAGGCTTCGGCAAATGGGGCAGCATAGAAATGTTTTAATAAATAAATAAATAAATAAATAAATAAATAAATAAATAAAAATGATCCTCTATTTAAAGTCCTCTCTAAACTCCAGTTGAACTTCAAAATACCATTTGATGCAAGGACTGCACCTTGACCTTGCCCATCATCCGCACCTGGATAGCCGACTGAGCAAGGTACATGGGTTGCTTGGCAATTTGGTGGGAAATTTCATGGCCCAACTCTTCCTTTTGATAGATTTTTTAAAACCTTTATACTGGACAGAGATTCAGACAGAATATGGGTTCAGACCAGAGGACTGTAAAAGAGATCATATGGCCACCCTATTACTTAAGGAGTAGCAACTGAAGATCCCACTGTGTAAGCCCAGGCAGAATGGCTGTACATTTGGCCTATAGATATAAAAATTTTCTCTCCTTTTTTGTTGTCTTTTTTGGAAATAATTTGATAAAATTGCAAATCTATCTGCTTCTTTAAATCCACCCACTAATTCCATTTCCCATAAACAGCTTTGTCACCCACCAACCTGGTCTAATTCCATTATGTCTTGAATCACCATGCAAAGTTCCCATATTGCTGGTTATTTGTGATGTAAATAAAAGACAGCTTTGTTGCACTCTCTCTCTCTAGTCATATAGGAGAGAATTAATAGGAAGAGGAGGCTGGCAGGTGGTGCTTAAACTACAATTCTTTCTCTTCTGTGACAAGTGTCTTTTGCATCTCCAAGGAGACAAGCTGTTCCTTTCTGCCAATGTCCCTAGAAAAGGAGGAATCCAAAGCAGCGAATGCACCAAGTTGGAGCATCTCGCCCTGCTAAGTCACTCAAAGGACCATGGATCAACACCTTTAGTCAAGAGAATAATGTGCAGATGGGAGTGAACATGAAAGCAACTGAAGTGCAATAGACCGCATTTTTACGTTTAAGCCTTGTGCATAAGGCATTGGAAAGAGACCAGACATCTATGCTCATGGATGTTCCCTTGTGGTATTTGCATGCACCAAGTTGCAAAAGAACAGTCTGGGAGCGATGCTCATTCCTAAAAGGCAGGCCTCTGTCTTGCAGCTCTGTGAAGATTTTCTTGGGATGGACTGTCAAAACTTTACCAAATATAATACGTTCCATATGCCTTGTCCCCCCACCTTTTCCTTTTATTTCCTTTCTTTTTTGAAGAACACATTTTCAAAGCAGCAAATGTTTTGACGGCTCGGCTTGTGGAGGGCCTGAATGCTGTTATGCACATCGTTTAGCATTTCACAAGGCCCCCACTGTTAAATTCTGGGAACGGTGCCAGAGGGACTTACCTAATGTTGAATTAACTAGCTTCGAAAAAGAGAGCAAGAGGTTTGGGGTGGGTGAAGGCAGTGGAAAAGCGAGAACTCTTAACTATTGTGCTGCCCTAAAGCATATCTGGAATTTGAACATTTCTTCCCAGCACCAGGCAGTTTTCTGGGATGCAGGAGAGAACTGGGTTTGGTGCCTTCTGGCAAATGCAAACTGGAGAATTTCTCCCCCGTTCCTAGTGAGGCAAGCTAGCAAGCATTTTGTCCCTCCTCTGATGCAGAATGTTTCAGCCTCGCCAAGTGCCATCAGAACACTAAGGGAAGGAGGTGAGAGGGCCTTGCTCTCCCACATTCTCCACATTTTCAGTGACCTATGGGCTGAGCAACCATACGGCCACCAGACAGTCTCCATATGGCTGACAGGATTTTTTGTATTACCAGCTACGAGGTCAGCATATTGCTCTGAACTCGTAGCTGGGAGTCCACACTTGAATCCCCCTCTTGACCCCTCATGGCTTGTGCAGCAAGAACCACATCATCTGCTTCTCCAAGATCATAAGCCCAACCTTGGAGAAGGCTTTTGGGCACATGCCAAGGCATGGGGAAGGGAACAGACAGACACCAAAAGGCAAGGCATCCTGGTGGCCCTTCAGCCTCCTTCACTCCTGCTTCTAAGTACCACACTTACACAGCCAAACACCCTAACCCTACGCTGCACAGGATGCCCACAATTCCCCAAGTTTGAGGGGTTATGGGTAGAACTGTGACAAAACTCATCAGAATCCATGCCTCTAACATTCATGAACTTCCTCTTGGCTTGGACCAATCTTAAAAAGCAAGCCGAGCCAAGAGGAAGTCCACAAATGCTCATGAAACAAAGGCCACACAACTGACAGCCTTCTTCTGCATCATGTGCAAAGCTGGCTGCATGTGGTGTGGAAGAGGGGTCCTGCTTGCACAGAACATGGGACTCGGAGCATGAAGAGGGATGCTGCTTGCACAGAACATGGGACTCGGAGCCTGAAGAGGGATGCTGCTTGCACAGTTCCTCTTCTTGCTGATGACAGAGTGCAGGACATGGAATAACCAATTCAAGTTGGGACAACCCAGATTCAGGCTGGCCATCAGGAAAAGCTTCCTCACGGTCAGAGCAATACGGGAGTGGAACCAGCTGCCCAGAGAGGTGGTGGGCTCTCCCACACTGGAGACATTCAAAAAGGAACTGGACAGCCATCTGAATGGGATGGTGTAAAGTTGTGTCCTGCAACAGCAGCGGGTTGGACCCAATGCTTCATGGCCCCTTCCAACTCTGCTGTTCTATGATTCTGTTTCTATGAACTTGGACCTGGGGACACACCAAACAGACTGGAGCCTGGGAGCTGAAATCCAGTGGATTCCTACCCCCAGCAGACTCCTCACACATCCCTAGTTATGGGTAGCATCACAGAATTGCAGATTAACTGGCTGTCACAAGTAGCATTTGTAAAAGAGCTCCATAACAAAACAGGTTCCAGAGTGGTGATCTGTAAAAGGGAAAAATAAAAATAAAAACCAGAATGACAATTGTAAATAAGTGACTAGTCAATCAGGGGAGATTTCTTAAATTAAAAAGTCTTCAGCAGGTTCTGGAAACAAACCAATGTCTAGGACTGATTTCAAATCCAGACATATCAAACAGCCAATCAGCTTAAACTCAGAATTTTAATATAGATTCTGTATTCTATATTAATGGCCAGACATCATTTAAACCCCTTTTGGTGCAGAAATATCAGCTGGAATGCTAATGTGAAGG